TAACATACTGGAGAGTGCTGGAGGATACACACAGGTAGTGCACATGATATACAGGAACTTCTGTGCATATTATACTGATTATGTCATATATATATATACATATATATATATATATATATATATATATATATATATATATATATATATATATATAGTCATTTGAATGTGTTGCTATCACTAAACTGATTGAACGATCAGTTAAAATAAGAACAGACACTATATTTAGATGATTACATAACCTTTAAAAACAGCAGCAGATTAGTCTTGCACATTTAATTGTTATCATCAAATTCATCCTAATGCTAAACAGAGAAATACAAATGCTGATTTCCAATCATTGTTCGATCATTAATATCTCAGTGTACCTTATATTTATAATCTATAAAACAGTTTAATGTCAACTTGAAATTGAATAAAACCTTAATATTAAATGTATATTCAAGTTTTTTAACTGCTCATTTATTAAACTTTTATCTTGCAAAAGAAAATGCAGCTAATGAGGAGCAAAGATTGTCACACAGATATTCAGACATGTGTGTGTGTGTGTTTTCCTGCAGCTCTCTGGCTTGTTCACCAGTCTGGTCGTTCTGATTGTCCTGCTGCTGATTGGACCTCTGTTCTACTTCCTACCCAAGGTGCATTTTATGTGTTTGTGTCTCTAACAAACATGGGACAGAGGACAAGCGAGGGAACGTTCACTCACCACATCCTTTATCTCTCTCTGCTCAGGCAGTCTTGGCATGCATCAACGTCACCAGCCTCAGGCAGATGTTTCTGCAGTTCCAGGACTTACCTGAGCTGTGGAGGATCAGCAAGATGGATTTCGTAAGACTATTTATCAGCACTATAAGAGAGATATGAGGGTTTTCTGCAATGGGTTCACCATGCATTGGAGTAAAACACAAGAGCGTGGAGGCAAGATGGTTAATTATACTGATCCAGTGCAGTTTATTGGTTTTAACAGTAACTTGACAAAGTAGAACATGTAAAAAATCGAAAACATTAAAAACTGTATTTAATGCATTCTATCTTGAGTGAAACATTATTCCTTTCAGCAGCTTTTTACCCTCTGTAATTCATAGTTTAAATGGCAGATGGACACACATCAATTTCATTCTTGTGATTATTTGAAACATTTCTGTTTGCTGCTATCGAGGGATTTTATACGGTTTGCATGAGCTGCAGTTTAGCATCCGGTCACAAACTGATGATGCATGTATATTCAAACATTAACTTGCAAGGCTATTTGAAATAAATGCCCCTCTAGTAAATGAATAAATCATCTTCATCCTCCTCTTCTCAGCCTGACTGATGTTATAATTATTACAACCTGACATGACGATATGTTTTAATGGTCCTGTTTTTGTGCAGATGGTCTGGTTGGTAACCTGGCTGTCTGTCGTGGTGCTAAATGTGGATCTTGGTTTAGCCATTGGAGTGGTTTTCTCCATGATGACTGTCATCTGTCGCACACAAAGGTACAATGTCATTCCCTCTGCACAATATCAATATTAAGTTAAAGTCCAGCTTGTACCTTTGCCAAACGTACATGTACATGATGTATATCTGAGAGACACGAGACCTGAACTGAGAGCACACGCATCTGCATCTGTTATTGAGATATTAAAACCCCACAAAGACAATGATATGAATCTATTTAGATGTTTCTCATCAGACACATCTTGTCTGTCAGTCTAAGTAGATCACGTTTCATAATGTGTTACCCATGATTCCACAGGGCTGGTTGTTCAGTACTTGGCCGAGCCAGCAACACAGAAATTTACAGACCTCTGGAGAAACACAGCAAGGTGAGAACGTACTCCAGCTGCTGTCTGAGCATTATTCCATGCAGTATGAGCAAGTAAACCCTCCACTTCAAGAAAGTTTAAATACAGTTACTGTAATTTCGAAGGCCCATGAATTTGGAATTTCTTATTCAACTTAAATACAATGTTCATAATTTCAGAAAGTAGATCATGAGCTCGTGCTGATTTCTTTGCAGTGCTACGAGGTGCCTGGAGTGAAGATTCTCACTTACAATGGGCCGATTTACTATGGCAACCGTAGCTTCTTCAGGGAGGAGATGAGCAGGTTGCTGGGCCTGACGCCAGAGAAGATCCACAGCTGGGAGAAGGCCAGGAAAGCCCTGGAGAAACGGGAGAGAGAGGCCACCATCAACACCGTGGTACTCTACTGTAATCACTGCCACAGCTCAGACCAAACACACTGTAAAATATAATTCAATATAAATTTCTTATTGTTCTCCCTCCTCTATTGTTCTATAGGAAAGAGGCATCGCAAACACATCGTTTTCCTCAGAAAACGACTTCTTCAAATCAGGTTAGTAATGACTTTATTGTGGCCTGTGTGCACGAAAAAAAATATGTACCATTAACATATTTAACTAAATAAGGTTCCAAAAACGATCACTGTATTTACCAGCATTTCTAATTCTGCATTTCATCAGATTACCTGTATTTTCTTGTGATTACTCCTGTGCTGCAGATCATTTTAAGGAAAGCTAGAATTTATGTTTTGTCCTGCAGAAACGTCTCAGAGTGACGTCCAGGCAGTGTTAATCGATTGCAGCAGCGTGATATTCGTTGATGTTGCTGGAGCAAGACTCTTCACACAGGTGAGCCTGATAAAGCATGACATGGTGTCAACTACACTTTATAGGCTTTTCTCCACGACGTTTTTTCATTGTGTCTACATGATTGGTTGCTTTTGCAGATGTGCACTGAATGCCAGAAAGTTGGGGTTCATGTATATTTGGCCAATTGCAATGGTAAGGATGATATTTATATACAGAATACATTTGTCAGACTTCACCTGCATGATTGAGTATTGATCCGGGATTTCTGTCCCCCGTAGAAAGTGTCTTAAAGATCCTAACATCCAGCGGTCTAATGAACTACATAAATCCTCAACATATTTTCGTCACAGTTCATGATGCTGTGATGTATATTCAGCAGCAGAAGGTAAGATAGAAAGCACACATATACACAAATATACAATATACTTATTTGCTTAGATTGTTGTTAAGGAATCATGATGTTGTTTACTGTAGGAAAAACCTCCAGAGAACACCACAACTGTTTGGGTATGAGGCACGACGACGCAGATGAACCATCCTTCTAATGGAGGGCGACAATTTGTTTTACCTGCTGAGTCTCCAGTGTAGCCTGTTGTAGCACTATGTCATGAATTAAAATTATAAATATATTACAGTGTTAACTAGTTTCCATAAGACTACACCGTGTCACACTTTAATCTAATAAACAGTCACACATTCAGAGAGCTGTCAATGCCGCAGAAACAACATACAATCATATATTCAGTATAAACACATCTGAGAAATCCAATATTTTGTACTTATATGTGACGGATATCAGTTGTTTATTGCTGTGTGTTTTTTATTGTCATACATGCTGGAACACTACAATAGAGATATTTATTTAGTTTCTGTTGTGTTTCTG